TTATACCATAACAAAGTTTTGATTGAATGCCTTTTTCCTTACGCTCTTTTCCATTAAATAGAAATTTGTGTACAATCTATCTTAGGTAACCTGCTCATCTAGCTCCTAGTCTACCGCCCTATTTAATCCTAAAACATATAACTGAATATTTACAATTAATGGTCAGCCATAAGTTACTCTAAGGGTCAGCCATAAGTTACTCCATAATTTCTGCCTTGTCATGATTCTCCTTTCCCACCCAAAGGGAAGAGAAAAGCAACACACACAAACACACAGAGATAACGAAGACCAATGCAATTCAGAAGGCACGCATATAATTACAATAACTGAAAGGGGATAGAACGAGAGGTGAAAACTGACTTGAACTCACGACCGTTGTAAGTTAGGAGGAGATACTCAGGAGCTCTCACCACTGGCTCTCCTGTGGAATATAATTTGACACACTCCTCAAAAGGCACAAGTTGGTCCAAGTTGCTCGCATCCTCATGGAACTTCGGCTCCACTTTCACCGTCCACTAAGAGAACAAAATTATAACAACTCAACCAGAAGAAATCAATATACCAATAAATAAGCATAAGACATGGACCACTATTAACGTCCTCTTAAAGGAACACAAGGCACAAAATAATGGAGGGCATGAGAAAGTTTCTATTTTCATAACTCAAACTTTAATATAGTCAAGATAAAGATAAGATCACTGACCAAATAAGAAAATAATTGAGTTTTCATGAATGTACGTGGAGAAAAAAAACTCATAAAATATAATAAAAAAAGGAGGTATCACAAATGTATGAGCTTATAGCTGACTTCGTATGGCATAAATAAATAATATGCCCAGCAGATCTAAAGCATGCATCAAGGGACCAAGACATCTTTTGTAGCCAAAACTGATGGAAAGGAGAACAAAAAAAAAATAGTGAAAAACCCCCATAAAGGATGGAAAGCCTCGGTACTAGACACAACTTTTATATTATGCGCCAGCCCTTTTTGATACCAAAAATCATCTCATTTAAGTAATTGGCACTAATCTAAAAACACGTGCGACACTAAAAGAGAAAACAGGTGAGAAAAGCACCCAAAATTCATTCAAGACTTACTTTCCAAATTTCCAAGATTAGGCTCTCAATACTCAGAATTTTCATTTAGAACAAATACCCAAGTGCCGATTAGCCATAGTTCATACCAAAATTTACCAAACACTTAACCAATATAGCTCAATTCATTAGCTATCAATATTTATCATTCTCGAAGCAAGTCACTAGTTTAAAATAACGGAATCCAAGCAATGTTGGGCAATACACAAAGGTACCCCAAAGAAATCATCCCAGCAGCAGAATATGAAGGTGGAACTAACATTTACAAATGTAGGATCACAGAAATACGATTTAAAAACTCAAGCACGTTTTTCTGTAAGAGAGATGAAGATTCAAATGGGATCTTGAACGTAACACAACAAGATCCATTATTTACAAAGATCATAGAGTAAAAGGAATCAGGTTTACATGCCATAGAAATGCACACAAGTTCAGTTCTCCACTTCAGGTCAATGATCTTAACCACTGAGCACATAAAAGACATAGGAACTTCCACAACAATTTCTCACCTCAGTGGATTTTTTACATAAATCAGCTTCCCTGAGGTAGATCCCACGTGAGGTAGGAGCTGCATATGAAAGAATAATTAAAGACGACTCCACATGATTGTGTAGGCAATAGGATCACAAAACAAGAAAAAGTACAGATGATGATTAAATACTAAATCACAAAATCAAAAAATCACCAACTGCCAAGTAGTTAATCATGTTCAACAACAAGAATTCACCGTAACTAATCAATGCATTGTAAAATCAAGAGTCACAGAGGAAAGTTTACTCACATGACTTTCCAGATTGATTGATCTTTATCTGATACCAAACAGATGTCACATCACATGACTTCTGAATATAATCATATGCCCTGCCATAAAATCACGAAAAAACTAATCAAATAGGGCTCTAATAATTACTGCAGTAAAGAACAGAAGCTCTAGCGTAGCAAATCTGACTTGTCAACTTGCATCAGTCCTTGACCGGCCGATAATTTATCTTCAGGAGAATCACCCACAGGAACCGATGTATTCTCAAGAGCCTCCCTTACACTATAAGGACTTATAGGAACCCCTTCAGCCTGAAAAATCCAAACATTCACATCCGAGTCTCAAAAGAAAGGACGGAAAGAGAGAAAAAGAAGTAAAATGGAACCTATAAGAATGAGTTGTTCGCAAACACAAAAAATACCTTCATGGCACTAAGCAGCAGAGCAACTCCTCCACAAGCACATGGAGATGACATTGATGTTCCATTCATAAACATGCGATGTTGAAGTGTCCAAGTAGGAACAGGTGCCATGGCACCACCTGCAGCACTAATACAAACTCCAAGGTCTCCATCAGCGGTGGGTCCTCGACTAGACCTACACCACTTCCAGGTAAAGGGTCAAGAAATAATACATACGCCCGATTATAACAAATAGTATTGTCATGGAGTGAATATTCAAAGTCAAGTAGATAGCAATTTAGAATATAAGAGCAGAGAAATCGATCAGACCAACTAGGCAATTACCAGGTATATTCAAGACCTTCAGGAAGAGCTTCAACCAAGTTGTGGGCTCCCGCAGCCATTGCAGGAGAAACATATGCCCCAACTCCTATTATACTAGATGTTGTACCACCAGGTGCACCCACAGTACTCAACGCTGGCCCATTATTGCCAGCGCTACTAATGAATATCAATTTATGTTTGTGGACTACCTAAACATCCAAAGAAGTCAAATAATGCATGCAAGTACATGGAAATTCCAACAATTCTCCAAACACTACAGATTGCAAACCTTACCTCGTTTACTAAGTCAACAAAGCGACCATAATCCGGAAGCAAAGTGGCTTCCCCATAACTCATGTTTATAAGATCACATTTGTGCTGACAGTAACAGGAAATCAATATCAAAAGCTAACATAAAACCGTCAATTGGAAAGATAAATGCTGAGGGGAAAGGTCGGTACTAGAAACAAGATTAACAATAGCATAATTATTAAGGGTATTTTCTGTTGTTTCATAGAAAGCAATTAGAGCTGTACTTTCTTCAATAAGCATAACTATGTGTGTCAATTACCTCCACTGCCGCAATCAGTGCTCGAACCAAGCCTGTCCCTGTTTCCATCGAACCTAATCGTGAATCTCCAATTTTGCATGATATTAACTGAGCTCCAGGGGCAACTCCATTTAACAAAGGCTCCTAAATGATGATAACATGAGGTAAGAATGCAAATACATAATCGGAAGTTGAAACTAACTTTATCTGTTACTGTGATTTATTCTAGATTACCTTTGGATGGTACGCAGAAGTGATACAAGCAACGTGGGTACCATGAGGAGAACTGTCTGTAACAATACTCAAAACATTGCCTTTATTGTACACATTAAGGACACATGTACATGCATCGAATTTGCTGAAGATGCCATACTTCCTCTCAATCCTACAATAACAGTTGCAAGATTACTCTAAATTGCAGAAGAAATTAGTATAATGCTATCGAATTTGCTGAAGATGCCATACTTCCTCTCAATCCTACAATAACAATTGCAAGATTACTCTAAATTGCAGAAGAAATTAGTATAATGCTATTTAATGTGTTGCCAGCTTGTTAGTCATTCAAGATGATTGATATGCTGAAAATGAAATGAGGTGATGCAATAAGACAATATGCAAGCATATCCATACAAAAATCACATAGAAATTTCCTAGACACTATAATACCTATAGTTAGTTAGAGGAACAAAGTCAGAAAGCTTCCCACATCCTGAATCATCCTCGAGACTCTGTGTGTCAAGTGCAGCCCTCCATACGTTTCCATCATGCCACACAACAGCATCTATAACAGGTCCTTTGTCATCATAGCTCTACAAGATATAAGCATGACACATTTTCAAAGGTCAAACAACATTTGTTAAAGAGAGTAGACAGAATTGACGAAGCGAAATTTACGTCAGCCTGCTTGCGAAGAAGATCAACTCTATTCTGAAGATCTTCCCGTTTCTTTTTCAAGTTTGTGTCATCAACTTTTGCATGTTTCTGCAAGTCAAAAGATGCATAATGGACAGGAAAAGGATTAAAAATCTTACATAGATCATTTGAATGGAAAATGAAACGATAACGCATAAAAGTAGATGTTATCATTTTACCAATTTATCAATAAACTATCTCATCCACTCTATCACTAATTTCTTCCACAAGACTCAGAAGATAATGATAGGCCAAGACATAATTAACACCGAATAACAATAAACAAAAAATGCAGAAAAGTCAACAAATGCTATACTAGAAAGGATTTTTTTAAAAAAAAAAAAAAGAATATCAGGATTTTGCTAATTTACATTCTAAAAGTATAATTTGACAACAGTAGCCTATTACTTTAACTTAGCATATGATCTTTCAAACAATAATTAACAGGAAGACCAGATTATTTACAACCTTGTCAAAATCATCGAGCTGCTTTACCGCCTCAGCAATTGCTTCCTGATTTTTCTCATCCCATTTCTTCTTCCTCTCTTTCTGTGTTAAAAAAGAAATTAATGTAAGGGATGTAATAAGTAAGAAATTGATTGGATAAAGGGATATAACAAATCAACCTCTTGTGTAGCATACTATGAAAAGTAAATAAGATGTAACTATTAATAATACAGTTACCTTCAACCGATCTGTCAATGTATCCGTGAAAAGCTCATAGACCAATTTATAGCCAACATGCCACTCTCCTGAAGGATTTTTCCATGATGAATTTACAACCAAAGAATTCCCTGAAATTTGTCACATTCACAAACAAAAAGCATGATCAAGTAGTTTGCCAAAAACAAGTTCATAGGAGAAGGAAATAAAAAGCCCAACTTATGCATAAATTACGGACATGGAAATCAAGAATACACACCAGAGGTCCCACGAATGCACCCATTCTCATCTGCCTTCACGATAGTTGACGTATCAATATCTCCACTCCCAGTACTGTGAAACATCAAGTTGTCAGATAAAGAGTTCAACGCTTCACATGAAAACATAAACCAGATAAATCATGCAAAACCAAGCAAAATAAACCGAGCTAAAAATCACCCATCCACCCACAAGCACTCACATACAGAATAATTAAAATCACAAGCCTCAACAGAATCTACAAAAGCCACCAGAAACACTTGCATGCACGAGTTATTAAAGAATATACCACAAAATCCAGAGAGGACAATTTCCCCATATCTGTTCTACTTAGAGACTGAGCTTTTATCAAATCAGCACAAGTTTCATTCACATACCAATCAATAACATCTAAAATCTTCGGCTTTCCATCCGAAGTCAATTCCAGTCCAGCAGCCGCCGGGTCCACACCAGAATCTAATACCACCAGCAAAAAACATGAACAACAACAACAATCAAAACACGCAGTTCGCAGTAATTATTAACCAAATCAAAAACGACGGAGCTAAAAAACAGACCGAAAATGGCAATAACCACGCCGCGACCGTCGTACTCCGGGTGCGCCTCCACGAATCGGTCGGCGGCGATTTCCTTCTTCGGCATGAGCGAGGCCAGGAACGTCGACTCGTTCAGCTTGAAACTGCGCAGCGCATCACTCTCACCGCCAGAAGGCATCGCCCCAGTCCTGAAACCGCTACCGGCAGAACCACGTCTGAGCTCGGAGAGTGTACCAGCGTACTTTCCCTCTCTAAATCTAGCTTCCAGTGGGGTTTTGGCCGCGGCGGTGACGATGGGTAGGGAGAGAAGCGGCGGGGGACAAGAGTGTGATTGGAAATTGATGACGTTATAATTAGCGTCACAAATAAATAGTGAGCATCGCATTATTGCTAATTTTAGCGATTTGGAATAATTAATATGTTGGTTTATGAAGGGTATAATGGGTAATATGACCACGTGGCGGTGTTTCCCGGTGAGGTGGTGAGCGGAGATACTGGTGGAAAATTTTTTAAAATCTATATCCAATCAAGAAACGGTGATCTCAAACTCGACTCGAGCCAACTAACGAGTTCGTGAAAACTTATAAAATTATGTAAAAATCAAATCAATCAAGCTTAGTGAACTTTAATAAATCAAGTTGAGATATTGGTTGATTAACCGAACGAACAATTCGGTACAAGACAAGTTGAGTCAAACTCAAGTTTTAACGAATAGTGTGTTTTCCTTACTTAGCTCGTTAACAAATCTACTCAAAATAACGTGCAGTTGAAAAAGTCGCAAAAAGGAAATGCATAATATTTCATAAATGGAATTTTCAATTAAGTTTTGATATGGTTTGAGATAGGTTGCTTCGGTCTTTCGAAAGGTCTCCTCTAGTCTGAGCATAAATTCTATTGATCCGGTCTTGTTCGAGTCTGCAAGCTCGTTGGTACCTGAAAAGGGCGCCGGAATTACTCCGGCGCAAAACCTTCCGATGCTCAAGTTAGTATCTCAGAGTTGGAAGATAACTTGCAATAAATGAAACAGTAATTGCAATTAATGAGTCTTACCTTACACTGTCGAATTTACCTTTCATATAGTGTTTAATTGTACAGTCTTCCTCTCGGGACCATAAGTTCCCGAAAATTTGTCGACCGAGCATAACTTAGTCGATGCTCGACCTTATGGGCTAGCACTCGACCCCCAGTGCAACTACCACGCGTTGACCCAAGGGTCGATGCTCGACCCCGGGGCCGGTAGTCGACTCCTTGAGCCCATCGACCCTCGAGCCGGTCAGCGAGACGCTCGACCCCTCTATGCGGTCAACGCTTGACACTTCCAGCCGGTCGACCCCTGGGTCCTTTTTGGCACGATTCGATCCTCGGGATTATTCTATCCCGGTTTTGTGGGTCTTTATCCGGATGGGTCGATTCGGTACCAATATCCCTATCACGATTCAAATTAAAAACCATTGCCCAAAAGATCTTCTATTTTTTCCTGAGTTTGAATCCGTGATTATATGTAGTATTGTTATTTTTTTTTTATCTGGGTTAATCAGTGTTTGATTGTATGATGCCTTGTGGATTTTCATAATGTGTGGCCATTAAAGTTGTGTTCGATAAGCATATAAGTTAGGTTATAACTTATTTGATTAGTTTATAAACTACTTGTATTAAGTAAGCTTGGCGAACTTTTTTTTTTATAAATTGAGCTTATCTTATAAGCTCACTTAAGTAACCTTTCAAATAAACCCATTGAAATTTTTACTTCAACTAACTTATCATAAAATTTACCACACTTTTATCATATAAACTAACTTTTCAGGCATAAGTCATAAGTTATCAATTATAAACTCGAATTTTACTTAAGACTGTGTTTTGTAAAACAAGGTGATAAACTAGTTGCTAGTTGATAAATTAGCTTACAACTTATAAGTGATTTTGAGCATATAACTTATAGCTGAAATGCTAGCTAGTAAAAGAAGCTGATAAACTTGCTGAAATAAAAATTACAACGAACTTATTTAAAAAGCTACCTAAATAAGCTTATGAGATACACCCGAGTTTTTTTTTTAAAAAAAAAAAACAATAAGTCTTACCAAACAAAACTTATTTCAATTTAAAAAGTTTAAAATCTAACCAAATAAAGTATAAGATAGCTTATTTAATTACTAAACATAACCTTAAAATTATAAATTAACTTATCAACTAGATTTAACAAACATAAGACAAATTACAATCACGAGTTATCCATTTCCATCGCCTAAACTAAATGAGTGGTAATTTAGTGTATTTATTAGAATTAATTCAACAATAATATAAATACAAGATTCTCAATATAAATAAGTACCATATAGCCACATTGTCCTTCAAAATAGAATATTTTAGGTATCTATAGATCAAATTTGAACTACATAAAAAAATCCTAAAAACTTAATTCATTTTTCTTTTTTTTTTTTCCTCTCTGTACAGCA